CTCTGTCCAGGAAGCCTCACCCAAAATTACAGCTGGATATTAAAGACCCTTCTGTGTCGGCCCCACCCACTTATGCCAGAGGGCCCCATTTGTTTGAAATTTAAGAGTCTTTGTTGGAGCTAAATATCATAATTTCAGGAAGATAGACATTGTTACGGTGTTTTGTACATGGGATTTTGAGTAGTCAAGCTGTTTACCAAGCAAAAAAGGCGAATCTATGGTAATACAAGCTGGTAGATGGCTAATATGGATACTGCAGATATTTCTAAAGCTTATTAGGATCCAGCATTTTAGATTATGCAGATATACACACAGTATGTATAGTTTGCCTGCCAGAGAGGCATATTTTATTAGTGATATTTATGAGAATTTCATGATGATTTGCATTAGGTTTATCATTAAGCTTTTCCCAGATGTAGTAGCTCATGCCTGTAATTCCAGCACTCAGGAGGCTGAGGCAGGAGGGTCAACAGGACTTTGAGGCCAGCCTGAACTACATAGAAAGACCCTGTCTCGGTAACTCTCCTCCACTGCCTACACCGGCTGGCAGACTTCCCATTGCCCCCTGGCAATGTTCTCTTCCAGATCTATGAGCTTCGCGCTACGACCTGAGTGATATAAAAATTTTGGGTGAAATGGAAGTCTGTAGTAGGAAGTACGAAACTACTTCTCTAAGATACATTTTACACAAGCCCAGGTCCTTTAAACATTTTAGGCGGAGGACCCAGGGATTGGAAAATCTTAATGTCAACGCTTGAGTAATCCCAAACCATGTACATTTCCTTTTTTCTAAGCCAGAGTGTGGATACATGTGCTGAATCATCACATGCTTGTCAACAGAACTCGTGTGACAGGCAGGGCTTTTAGAATAGCACTGAACTGGGAATCAGGACTGTGTCAGTTTTGGACTTATTTTTGCAAGGAGAAAAATATAATACAGGACGCATATTTTATCTGACTATTTAAAATAGTCACCCAAAGAGTGATACACAAGAGAGTGCAGGGTATCTGTCCACACACTAAGACCAAGGAATCCAGCTGAGGGCCTGAATCCCAAGGAAATGTCCTACATGAGTCCAGCTGAAGACCTAGAGCTCATAACAATGCCTCCCAGAGTCCAGCTGGAGGCCCAGAGCCCATAACAGTATCTCATGCAGGCCTGTTTCACGGATCTGTGCTGGGGAGGGCCAAGGGTCAGTGGTGGAATCTAGGAAGTCTGTGCCAGCGGGATGAAGGGTCTGTGCTAGCAGCCTGAGGGATCTGCACTGGAGCCAGAAAGTGACGCTCAGAAGAACCAGAGCTCCCCCGAAAGGTGCCACAGCCCTCCTCAGCAACAGTGAGGTCCTGAGCTCCTCCGATGATCAGGACAGCCGAGTTCCCATCAGGGAAGCCAATGCAGCAAGCTTCTCCAGGAGACCGGCAGTGCACCATCTTCCCCTCCAGAGCCAGGAAACAATCGTCATGATCCTCCTGCCTCAGCCTCCCGAGTGCTGGGTTTATAGGCACATGCCACCACGCCTGGCTACAGTAAAATTTTTTGTCCTCTACTCTTTACTTACCTCTGGGAGCGATTCTGTGGAGACAGCTCTGATACTACCACACTGCTCACAAAAGACATGAAGACAGCACCTGTTTATATTCCAGATGATACTTGGCGAATTTCCCGGGTGCTGGTACACAAAAGATACATAGGCCTCTGAATTGAAAAGGTATCAACAGATCAAAGAATAATTCAGAAAAGTCTGGTTTGGTGAAAACATGAGTTTATTCAGTGACCTAGAGTGATAGATGGCTTACAGGAAACTGTGCTCCCAAAGTTGCCACCCCCTGCTTACCAAGCTCTTATTTATACAGTGCTCCAAGATACGAGCAAAAAGCAAAAGCTGGAGCCAGAATCCATGGGAAGAATTATGTGTTCATGTGCACCCCGTCCCCATCCCCAGGATTCCGCTGGGCTCGGCTCACACAGTGACGGATGGCTCTGGTGGGCTGCAGTCTGGTACGTATCCTTGCGCTGGCGAGGACCCTGCGGGACAGTTCAACTAGGGCCTAGAGGACCAGATGACCACCGATGAGGGCATCATGGAGCCAAGAAAAATTCCACACGCAGCGGCTGCATTTGAGTTTCTCTGCACGGAGGTGAGGTCACCCAGACAGATCTTGTTTCACTTCACTTAAGCTTCTCGTCACCTTGGTATACAGGAGTGTCACGACCCACCTGCTGATCCATCCTGCCTGCAGGCTCGGAAGCTTCTGGATTCTGAGACAGCGACTCTGCACTGCCCTTAGGATGTCCAGATCTGATGTGGATAGGGTTTTGGGGGTTTTGTCTGTGTGTGTGTGTGTGTGTGTGTGTGTGTGTGTGTGTGTGTGTGCATGTTTGAGACAGGGTACAACACAGCACAGTCTGGCCTTGAACTCCCACTGATCCTCCTGCCTCAGCCTCCTGAGTGCTGGGATTACAGGTGTGCGCCACCACGCCCTGCTTCTTATTTGGTGTAGCTCCTGGACTTGGATGTGTCTCGCTGTCTCCCTCTCACAGTCCCCAGCGCCCAGCCCCTGAGTTTACTCCAGGTTGATTTCAGTGGGTTGTAATCGGCATGTCTGGCCATCTGCTGGAATGTCACGAAGTTATAATCACAAGCAGAAAGAGAATAGACTGCTTCATGGCTGATTATACACATACCTGGAGGCTAGAGGGTGGAAAATCTCACCTGTTGACTTTTCCCATCAGGCCCACGGTGGATGGGTGGCCTTCCCAGAAGCCCCTTCTCTCTTGGAGACCTTCCCTCTGGCCAACCTTCTCTCCAGGGTTTAGGCTTCTTCCAGCACCTGCACAATCCAGGCCAGAGAGGCCTACTGGCTGAGATAGAAGAAACACCTGTTTGCAAGCAGGGCCAGTACTGCCCCCTGGAGGGCTCCTTCGGAAGTATGAGGATGGTTTTTGTTGTCAAAATAACAGGGCTGCCGAAGAGAGAAGCAGTCCCTATAGTATTCCCTTGCTGCTCTTCTTCCCGGTAGGCATGGATGAAAGTGACAAATGTATTAAGAATAACCTCACCCTAGACTTAACCCAGTCCCATGTCATGATAGCAGAATTGCTTTCCTACTGTGGTGACAAAGCCCGTCCTGTACCAAGAACACCGTATTTCCTAACGCTCTCCGCCTCTCTTTGCCTTAGTTTATTATCTTTGTTTAAATTAAGGTCATTGCCCGGTGTGGTGGCACAGGTCTGTAATCCCAGCACTCTGGAGGCTGAGGCAGGATTCTTGCAAGTTCGAGACCAGCCTGGGTTGCTAAGTGAGCTCAAGGCCAGCCTGAACTGCACAGGGAGACCCTGTCCCAAAAAGAATTAAGTTTATTTTCCTCTTCCCATTATCATCTATCATAATATTATCCCAGCTCTGATTTGATTCAAGTGGGCTTCTCTCTTTGCTTGCATTTCCTGGGTATAACTTATGAATCTGGAAAACAAAAGCTAACTTTAGTTCTGTTTTAGGCTAGGAGGGACAGGAGCAGAAGTGAAGCTTCTTCTAAACCAAGGCTGACCTGGGGCCACTAGAGGGCAGAGAGGGTGCCGCCCTGGCAACCCCGAGCTGACCCAGCGACTGCGGACACACAGCAAGGGAGAGGGGTGGAGAAGTGACATCTGGCCTGGCCCGAGAAGGTCTGGTCTCAGTGGAACCAGGATGTTTGTTTTTAAACGTGGAATGTTTTGTCTGACTGCCTGCCTGAGACAACAGGGCTGATAGAATCTGGGTGGGCACTTCTCCGGGCCACAGTGACTCACAAGGTTTAAATCCTTCAGCCAAGAATGGAATATTCCGTTTCACATGTTTCTTTTTTTCTTTTTCTTCTTCTTCTTCTTTTTCTTCTTTTTTTTTTTTTTTTTTTTTTTTTTTTTTTTTTTTTTTTTTTTTTTTTTTGTCTTTTTGAGACAGGGTCTCGCTATGCAGTTCAGGCTGGCCTTGAGCTCACTTTGTAGCCCAGCTGGCCTCAAACTCGCAACAATCCTCCTGCCTCAGCCTCCCGAGTGCTGGGATTACAGGCGTGTGCCCCCACGCCCGGCCTGTACTGACTTTTTTTCTTGCCTCCTTTCTGTTCCAGCAAGGGCCTGTGCTTTGGAAGCTATTTGACAGACCCTTAGGTCATGCTTGCACTGCCTGGATGCTGCTGCCAGGGCCTTTCTGGGGTTTTTTCTTTGGGTCCTCTCACCAGCTCTATGAGTTAGATAGGACTACCATGGAGGAGGAACCTAAGGCATAGAGAGTTAAAGTGGCGGGCCGGGCGTGGTGGCGTACGCCTGTAATCCCAGCACTCTGGGGAGGCTGAGGCAGGAGGATTGCTGACAGTTCAAGGCCAACCTGGACTATATGGTGAGACTTTGTCTCAAAAAAGAGAGAGGTAAAGTGGCATGTCCGAGGTCACACTGGAAACGGTGATCACAAGTTTGAATCTGGGCCTGCGGCTCTGGACCCGCACCTCAGTCACCCTGCCAGCCTCCCTCTCAGGTGAGGGAGATTTCCTAGGGACTCTGTTGCAGGAAATTAAAGGGGCTTTCCATAAAAATAGGGGAGCGTTGGGTGATGGGGCAGCAACACTGACCTGGGGGGGAGTGTGGGCGTCCCCTCCTCCCTCCTCCTGTGTTCCATTTCTGTCTGCCACCGGGGCATGAGTCTGAGCCAGACTGGGGTGCAGGGTAGGGGCAGCTCGGCGGCCGGGCCCGGGAGGGACCTGTGGCCGAGGGTGGGGGACAGAGAAGGAGTGGCCCAGGTAGGGCCTTCTGGTCCCTGCTGGTCAAAAGCCCACAGCCTGCTTCCGCCAGTTCCTGCCCCTCCTCTCCTCCCCCAGGAGGCGGGAGTCTCCTCTGGAAAAACACTGGGGCCTGGAACTTCTGGGCTGGGTGCTGGGGGAAGGCCAGATTGCATCAGACAGTGCCCGAGGCCCGGAGCCCATCTGCGCTCTGAGAGGAGACACAGCAGGCTGGAAGAGGAGGCCAGACGCGCACAGAGCTTCCGGAGACCATGAGGGAGGCAGCGAGCGGGCCAGACGTGACGGCCACCTTGCCGCCGGCAGCCGGCCCCTCGCAGCAGCCCCCAGGCCCGGAGGACGAAGAAGCCAGCCTGGATGAGTATGACCAGTACAGCCTGGCCCACCCCTTCGTGGGTAAGGCCCGCTCTGCCTGCTCTTTGGTCCCTCCCCACCCAAGCGGGTCCCCTCCTTGGACTTCCTCCCATGCTGCCCCCTTGTCCAGCCAGCCCGTTCCCCTGGCCTCAGGTCACCCCCTCCCTAGCGCCCTCCACAGAGCGCTTCTTGCTGTCACATCTCGGGGTCCCTCACTGCATGGACGGAAAGAGCTGGCGGGCTTGTGTCGGTCCCCAAGATGCGCGGTAATGCCCGCAGGCTCCCTGCTCTTGCCACACCCGCACCCCTAACCGCCTGCTCCTCTGCCCACCTCTGCTCTGACCCCTACCCGGGCGCCAGCGGGTGGAGGCCGGAAAGGTCGCACCAAGAGAGAAGCTGCTGCCAACACCAATCGCCCCAGCCCCGGCGGGCATGAGAGGAAGCTGGTGACCAAGTTCCAGAACTCAGAGAAGAAAAAGATCCGGCGCTGAGACAGAGCTGGGGTGAGGAGTCAGGGGCCAGCTGGGAGTGGGGGCGCAGGCCTGTAATCCCAGCACTCGGGAGGCTGAGGCAGGAGGATTGTTGTGAGTGCGAGACCAGCCTGGGCTACAAAGTGAGTTGAGGGCCAGCCTGAACTGCATAGCGAGACCCTGTCTCAAAGGGCCAGAGAGCCATGGAGGGGCCTTGACCTCACAAGGACAAGCCTGAAGGTGTGTGGTTGGGTGGCCCAGGGGGGTGTCAAAGAAGTGTCTTAGCTTGGAATAAAATGAGACATGAGTTTTCCAGTGACCAGAGCAAAGAGGAAGCGCAGAACCTTTCCAATCGAGTGTCTGCTTTGGGGTTACAGAGAAACTGAGGCCAGAGGGGTTGGATTCTTCTCTGGAGTTACAGAACAGAGGGGTAGGAGAGGCAGAATTAGAACCCAGGTCTCTGCCCATTTTACCACCTGCTTTCCCTATGCCTAGATGAGACCAGACCACGGACACCACACCCCACAATGGAGACAGGATGGCGGAGGAGCTGGGAGCGGGATCCTGACCTGCTTGCCCCTCCCTACCCCCAGGACTTACCCCACCTCAGGGAGGCCCCAGGGAGGCCCCCAAGAAAGCACCTCCAGGCCCAGCAAAAGGGCCAGTAGGAGCAAGAGGCAGAGCATGGGTAGGCAGAATCAGGAAGCTTCCTCCAAAAAGAAACTGGAGCCGAGCCCCCACGCCCCCACCCCGGAGCGACAGTGTCAATAAACAAAGTGCAGAAGCTGCAGTTTCGGTGTGTGTTTTATCCTGGCTCTTCGTGTGGTTTTGTGTGGGCGCATTTCTGCCTGCGTCTGTCTGTGTTTTCCCAAACCACCAGGGCATTCATGGTGTGTGTGTCAGTATTTGGTGCCTATGCCATTTTTAAGGATGTAATCCAAAAATAGAACACACCACAGCTGCTCAGAATTTAGTCACATGGCCACGCCCACTGTGAGAGGCTGGGAAACGTATTTAGCAACGTGGCCATGTGGTAGCCCAAACGTGGATGGAGGCAGGGTTTTATTATTAAAAGAAGCAGGAGAGAACGAATAGTAGAGGAAACCAGCAAGAAACATTGGTCACCCCTGCAAGTTTGAGGCCAGCCTGGGCTACAAAGTGAGCTCAAGGCCAGCCTGAACTGCATAGCGAGACCCTGTCTGTAAAAGACAAAAAAATTAAAAAATAAAAAGGGCTGTGGGTATAGCTTAGTGTGAAGACCTTGGGTATAATCTTCAGTACAATGGATAGCTAGCTAGCTAGACAGACAGACAGATAGATGGAAAGAAAAAGAAAGAAAGAAGGACAGATAGATTACTGACAGACAGACCCATCTGTAGAGCAGAACCCCTAGTTCTGGCCCAAGGCAGAGCTTTTTCTTCTTCTGTTCCCTCCACGTAAGCCCACAGCTATACAATTTAGAGCCCGCTGTTCTCAGAGGCTAAATATGACTGAGGCTGGTAGCACCCTGGGTTGGAGCTGTAACAGATCACAGCAGGCTGTGACCAGCTGGAAATTTTGAGGACCTGAGCCCAGGCTGTGACCGGCACTGAATCCACAACTGCAAGCCGGGCGTGGTGGCACATGGCTGTAATCCCATCACTCAGGAGGCTGAGGCAGGAGGATTGCTGAATTTGCGGCCAGCCTGGGCTACATAGCGAGACCCTGTCTCCAAAAGACAAAAAAAAAAAGTCTTTCCCGACTCACCCTCTCCCACTAACTGCTGGCCTCCAGCCAAGCAGGCCCCTCCCCTGGGATGGCAAGGGCCCAAAGTACCGTCACCTTGGCTGGTGGCTGCTTCGGGTCTCCCCTCGAGCTCCTCTTTCCCTGTAAATGACTCATCCATTCCACATTTACCGAGCACCCCTGCATTAGCAGGGCCTCACTGAAGCTTCAACAGCAAGGAAGGACAAAGGGGTTGCTGGTAGGGTTAGAACCAGGCCTGAGGCAAACAGCGCAGCACCGTCACCCAGTTCCTCTGGATGGCAGAGACCTGGGGTGTTCCCTTCAGGAAATCATAGCAACAGCTCCCGTGTTTTGGGCCCCTGTTCCACAACAGGTTTTTATTTATTCATTTATTTGTTTTTTTGTTTTTCTTCCTGTGGCGCAGGAGATTGAACCCAGGGCCTCGCGCATGCTGAGCAGATGGTCTACCCCCGAGCTACACCTCCAGCCCTGTGACAAGTGATTCATAGATTTTATTCCACTTAATCCTTAGAATAACCCCATAACACATATCATTATTGATCCTATTTTTCTGACCAGAAAGCTGAGAGTCAGAGAGGTTGAGTAACTTGCCCAAAGCCACACAGCTGCAACTCATAAGACATGACGATTGCATTTGGGTCTGTCCAGTTTCCAAAGCCTGGATGTTTTCCTTTTTATTACATACCTAAGAAAAGCCATAGTGTATTGACACTGAGCGATCCTAGACTGTTGGCAATTTAGGGTCAGTTCTAGTTCCTCGCCTGTCAGATGGTGACATGAGCCTCTTTTCCACCAGAGAGGTAAAACAAGGCCTGGGAAGCGCCATGTCCCGAGCCGCCGTGGCCACTCCCTGCACACCGGGTCCTTTGACACCTGCCGCGAGGCCCCACGGGCCACCCCTCACACAGACTGCGCCCGAGGCCTTTCCTGGCTGTCCCGGAACTATGCAGGCAATTCCTGGGCTCACAGTAACTTTGGATCAGGAAGGACCCTGTCCAGAATCTCCCTCTTCCGTCCCCACTCCCTTCTTTCTGCCCCTTTCCTCTTTCTTCTCCTACTTGCAGATAATGCCCGTTTCCCTCGTTTTTTGGGTCCCTCCTGAGAACTGGAGAAATCCCTGACCTCTGTTTCTCCTCAAAAGCTTACAGAACCTTCCCTGTGAGGTTTCCATAACTCAGAGGGTTCCCAGCCCCTTGAGAAAATCGAGAACTCTCTACGGGGTTGTTTACTCCACAAACATCCTCTTCCACCTATTCCTCTCTCACAGGCCCATTCTCAGGTACAGATGTATCCATAGAGATTTTTTTTTTTTTTTTGTCTTTTGAGATGGTATCACTATGCAGTTCAGGCTGGCCTTAAGCTCACGTTGTAGCCCAGGCTGGCCTCAAAATTGCAAGGACCCTCCTGCCTCAGCCTCCCAAGTGCTGGGATTACAGGTGTGCGTCACCATACCCAGCTTTGATAGAGATTTACATTTCAGAATGACCCAAAGTTAACTGTCAGTTCACACTCCTTAAAGATAATACTAATAATAGCAATAGTCACAGCTCCTACTATTGAGGATTATCCTCTGGGTTTTTCTGATTTCGCCTTTTACTTGGTCCTTTCATGACTTCTGTCATATGGGTGCTCAAGCTACACTGTGTTTGCTTAGTACTGAAAAATTACCGCCTTATCTTTTTTACTCAATGTTTTTAAAAAAGAAACTTTAAAACCACCCCCAAAAAGCCACAGTCAAGTGTTATAATTAGAAATTAACTGTAAAAAGAAATACCTAACTCTAACTTCTTTAAAAAATTCATTTGTGCTTTACTTTAGGTGATCTCACATACTCAAACTCACAAAGATCCTCCTGCCTCAGCCTCCCGAGTGCTGGGATTACAGGCGGTGTGCTACTGTGGTTTAAGAAATATATATTTGTTGATTATCCACATGTAGATAGTCCCTGAGTTCAACTTATGATTTATCAACTTTCCAGTAGTGTGCATGTTATACATACGTGTTCAGTCAAACATATAATTTGAACTTTGAATTTTGATCTTAGCCAGGTGTAATGGCACATGCCTAAAATCTCAGAACTCAGGAAGCTGAGACAGGAGGGTTGCTATGAGTTCGAGGCCATCCTGGGCTACATAGAGACCTTGTCTCAAAAAAATTTTTTAAAAATCTTTTCTCAGGGTAGTAGTTCACTGTATGATACTCTCTTGTGATATCGGAGATCACAAGGGGGATTCTGCAGTGTTCTTATTGCTAAGCTGTAGTGCTCGGTAGGTCAGTGTGGTAAATGCATTTTCTTTTCTTTTGAGGCAGATTCTCATTATGTAGTGCAGGCTGGCCTTTGAACTCATTTATGTAGCCAAGGCTGGTCTTGAACTCATAGCGATCCTCCTCCCTCAGCCTCCCAAATGCTAGGATTACAGGCATGCACCACCACGCCTGGCAGTAAATCTTTTTTTTTTTTTT